CTCAGGTAGCAAGTTGGCGCTGCTGCTGATAATTATCGGTGGTGTAATTACACCTGCTAACATGGCCAATGCATGTTGGAAGCCGAGCAGCAAGCCCAAAAGAACTGGCATCTTGTCATTGAGACCAAAGAAGGGACTTGGGTTGACGCTCCTCTTCATGAATGGCAGGTTTGGGCGAAAGAGAAAGGCATAGTCGTAATCGCCAATTAGGCCATGCCTGGTAGTGAACGCCTTTTTGAGGCCATTGCAACGCTGAGCGATTGTTTTCGGTGGTGCATGCTCGGGGGCAATGGAGCGTGGTCCTTGATCCTCATCCATTGCTGAAGATGTTAGATGGACTTGTGTGAAGAAACTGGAAACAGGCCGACGCTGAAATGTCTTGAATGTCGATAGCGTTGATCGTCGAGGGGTCCAAGCGAAAGAGGTATCTTTGTGTCGATCAACTCAACGGACACAGGCTTGGGATGTCAATGTTGGATGGATATTGACGAAAGCTTTGAAAGGCTCCAGTACTGAAAGTTGTTATGGGCAATATGAAGTTTTATACTTTTAATGCCTCTTCATGTAATAGAAGTGATTGGCGAGCACGCGAGGCCGTTTTCGGGAGTGATTAGAGTTGTTTTTTAGGCCGAGTGACCTAAGACTTGTAACTGATAACTCGTGGATCCAGAGATAGATAGCTTATCAGCGCTTCTTGTTCCCCAGATGCTTGACAAATTGCTAGAGATGGGGCAGCGGGTGGGTGTCTGCGGGTCCAAATCCAAGAGCCCCAGGCGAGGTGAGATGAGATGCAGATCAAAAGACAAGGTCAGCTAAGAAATCATGCGATGCTAATCTGAAGCCTGATATTGGTGACATGATGTGCACAACCACTCCTTTAAATATGCAACCCCGGATTCCACGATGGGGAGGTAAGAATAAAGTTGGATTGTTATCAGGCGGCTAGTCGGGGAACCGGTATTGGAGGTGCACTTCGGGACGTGGGGGACGAACAGAGGAGTACGGCCTGTCGCGACCATTGGGCTGGGTTCGAATCGAGGAGGGATCAGATAGCGCATCGGCGCATCCCCGAGGCATCATCTGGGGTTGTCACCCATAGCCACGGAATAGGCGACTTCGGCTGTCTATCATGACCAGGATTGTGATGATAAACCCGGCATGAGCAGGGAGAGCACCAGCAGAGCTTTGTCTGGCTAGTCTGGATATCATACTGAGCTTCAAAGTTCAAGGCACGGGCTGATACGCAATCAGTTTGCGAAATCGGATGACTCTGTGGAAAAGATAGCACCAATTTAGAGTGACCGTCGGAATTCAACCACCCAACTCGTTCAAGTTTATCTCTAGGGTGCATGCATTGTACGCCACAGTTTGCTAGCAGATATGCATATTCAAGTTGTGCTCGGCCATGACCCGTCATCCAACCACAGGCTTATCAGATAAGATAGAAGTGTGAGTAAAATCGGCTGTCGGCTGCGTCCGGTGGTGATAGCTAAGAGCCTGTGATTCTTGGGACAACGGAGGCGGGCGACTGCGCAATAAATTCCATCTCGAAGGTGTAGATGATTGAACAGAGCTGAAAGAAGGGCGATCGATCGGTCGGAGATGTTATCACAGCTACGAGACTAGGCCAGGCGGCGGCGACAAAGTCATAGAAATGTGTAAAGGCCGCCGGCGCTCCAGATAGATCTTGATAATTGATGCGGCAATGATTGAAAAGGAGGAAGAAGAAGAAGAGGAAGAAGAAAAGGAAAAAAAAAGTCTGGTGTTGTAAGACCAGCAAGAGGAAATATCAGGCAAGGCCCTTGCTCAAAAGGGCAGAACTGGCAGGTTGGTTTGAGCTAAAGGCGGGAGGCACCGGAGAGAGCCGCCATGTGCCTGCCTCTCCGCATTCATGGAGTTTTTGTTACTTAAGAAAGTGCTTTGGTCTCTATCCTTGGGTATGAGCCTCATCTCTCATCTCTGATGCAAGTATCAGTTCTTGAACATCTTGTTCTATACCTAGCTCCAACATTGAAAGGACGCCTGATGTGCTCCAAGACGCTGATAACATTTCTCTTCTATTCCATTTCCCCTCACTTATTAGAGGCCTCCAGAAATACAACAGCAATGTAACGGTAGCTGCGAAACCACAACCAGTTTGAGATACTCTTCGTTCTAACTATCACAATACCATGATGTTACAGAACAGATATCACGGTCAGCTTACAACACAGCCTGTGTCAGTGTAGCATTATCCGAAAATAGTACAGAAACGAAGCGACTCCCCAGGCTCAAGTTTGGATCAACTCAGCAGGGTATTCCTGACCCAAGGTAATTCGCCAGAATGTTCCAAGATGAGCTTCTGCCGTCTTCTTTAGTAACAGGAACTGCTATAGCGCTTGCTGTACAGTACATTCATCGAAGCCACCAGAGCCCTGAGAGAACAACCAATCATATCGCTATTACATGCCAACCCTGAGGTAATATGGGTTTATGACACAAAGGGATGGGTTTCTTGATTTTGCCCATCCTTCCTCTTCCTTCCATGCCCGTAGCCAACCACGATCTTCCATATCACTTCTCATTGGCGGACTTGCTCCGGCACCACGAGATTTGTCTTCGATCTTTGCTCCACTCAACGGAGCTAAGGTATGCCCCGGCCGGGACGGATAAACTGCCTCCTATGCACTTCTAGGGCGGTCAAGAGCATCCCCCTCCGTTACACATTTGACGTCTTCATGACAGAAACAATACACCTTCCCCCCCCCCTTTTACATCAGTTTTTCAGGGTCTCACGCAGGGACTGGCACCAAACAGACAAGGTGTTGCCACTTGACCATCCCCATCCTCGTCCCAAAGACCATTGGTTGGACTCTTTTTTTTTGCATGTATTATTAAAAACAAAAGAGACCAAATTTCCCCTCTCGTACGCCCAAGCTCCTAGTTCCTTAGTCAAAAGGCAGAGGTGGCGTCTTTTTCTGTGGCGAAAAACTACAACAAACGGTCACTTTCTTCTCACAGGCAGAAACAGGTGCTGCTAAGGGATTTTCGCCCAAACGTCCTCGTCTCGTCTCGTCCCATCCCAGGTCACGCCTATTCTATCTGCCCATAATAATGTGCCCTAGCTCACCTTGTGCTATGTCTCTGACTTGTGAATCTCTGAACTTTCATCAAATCTCGGTCGATTCCTTCTTTTCCAGTTTTCGTCTTCTATCCATTATTGTTGTCATTTTGGGCACCTGATTGATGTAGCGCAGGTTGGACTTCGATATACCTCAACCGCTACCGCTGCTGGATACCTCCGGCCAGCCGGCATCGGCCCTTCATGCGCCACTCCACCAACCGCATCCATCGTTTGTCACCACGAAAAGTTACTGATCCTGATCTTGTTGCTATTCGTGACAAGCTTGTTGACGCTCTCGCCCTCAAGGCGTCCGCTCTTGTGACGCCGCCAGCCACCAACTTGTCTCCTCCATCTTCGCACGCTGGTCCGCCCGGCACGGTCCAGCGGCCCTCCTCTCGATCTCGACATCGCCGTCCAAAACGCCCTTCTTCTTCATCACCTCGCTTAGTCGTCGGCCCTGACGCAATTCATCGTCTACCATCTGAGCTAGCTCGTTTACACTTGTCTTCACCGCTCATTGTGTCGAGCCCTTCAAGATCAAATATCGCTCGCAAGATTCAAGCCATTATCCCTAATCTCGACAGTCGAATCCTCTGTTCATCGAATACCGCCGTGCCTGCCCAGGCATCTGGACGAGATTGCGTTGTCAGCGTCGGGGGAGGCTCTGCTGTTACTTTGGCCCGAGCCGTTGGCTTAAGGAAAGGGATCCCTCACATTTGCATCCCCACGACATACAGTGCAAGTGAACTACACGCAGGCGAGGGACGTAGCGACTCATCTTCCGAAGAGAAGAGCAGCGGCCACGATAAAAGGATACTTCCCACCGTTATCATTTACGACGACAACCTCACTATGAGTCCTCCAACTCGATTCTCAGCACCCAGCGATGAGAAAGTCATGGAGGACTTTGCACGAGCCGACACGCTGCCCAAATCAGAAGACGCCTGCTGGAGCTACCTTCACATTCCAGGCGTCTAACACCGTCTGGTGTTCAACCGGATATATCTTTTTTATACTCTCTTTTTAAAACCACCTTGTCTTGTATCTGCGAGGAGCCCTTCAGCCTCCTATTTTCATACCAGGATCCCCCACCTCACGCCGATTTCTCGGATATGGGATCATAATGAGTTTGGCGATATTCGCACAACGCACGCCACCCAACCCGCCTCACCCTTCAGACGGTTGAGGAATCATGGAGAAAGGAGCAAAATTCCCGGTCTGCAGAGTTTTCTAGCTCTCTGTATTGCATCACCGGGATATCGCACCCTTCTCTGCAAGACATAGACCACCGGCTTGGTCTTCCATAATTCTCTGATAGAGTATTTTTGGGGACAATGCCGCTTCAAGTCCTTTCTCTAGTCACCGGTTCAGACGCAAACCTTGATTCCATGTGTAATGGCAAGGTATCTGCTTCTGCCCCCTTTCCGGGATAGAATAAGTGCACTTGTACTTTCCGAAGCTACTGGGCTTCGAGAAGACTCATCATAAGAGACTACTGGGTTTCGAGTCAAGACATGAGGCTACTGGGCCTCAAAGAACTATCATGGAAGGTCGTGTAGCATCGACCGAGGGATACTTCTCTCCCCGACTCAACACGAATGGGTTTTTGGTTATTTCACTATGTATGTGATCGTGCTTCGTTTCGGAAGACCACCAACTGCACATGAGTCGTTGGATGTCCACCTGCTAGGGTGGGCTTCTTCACAAATTAGATACCTAGATAGCCAGATATTGAAATATTGAAGGTTGTCAACATTAATCTTCGTTTCTTATACTTGTAATGAAATGTATCTACGTCCATGTTTTGGGCTGTGGCCATTCTGACCGTCTGATCGCACTACTTCATCGTATCTACGCCGGGTATCGTAACATAATTTTCATCGCCAAAAAGCTCCATTCAGTCCAGGCCCTCAAAGCCCATGACGCCGTGGGCTCCCATGGGCCCAAGTTTGCTCTGCTGGGCCTCCTTGCGTCGCTTGGCCCTACGCTTCATCTCCGCAATTTGGTCTTCCTCACTGTCATCGTCACTGCCGCTGTCAGCAGCTCGCTTGCCGTTGCCATTCTCTCCAGCATCACTATCATCGCTATCGTCGTCGTCGTCATCTTCATCCTCTTCGTCGTCGTCTTCATTGCCTCCTTGAAGAGCAGATAACTCTTCCCAAAGCTTCACAGTCCTTCCGCCAGCGCTGATGAGGCGGTTCTCGCAATCGAAACCCAGCGATACAACGCTCTCCATATGGTCGTGTTGTAAATTGGCTGAACTGTCCACCTCTCGAAGAACAAGGTCAACCACACGCAAGCTGCCATCACCTACACCACAGACGACCTTCTTGCCAAGTCCCAACTCTTGCGGGACCAAGACTATGGCATCGATACTTTCACCGCCACCCTTTTTGTCACCATCCACGATGATGCGTTCCTGTTGATCGTCCCAGGCACCCTTGTCCCACATGGTCAATACACCCGAGCCGGATCCTACCGCCAAAATGCCGTTATTGCGATGTCCTTTGGGGCCCATACCTGGAACGAAGCAAGAAGATAGAAGCTCATCCTCCTGGTCGTCGCTGCGCACAAGTACCCCTCTTCTAACATCGGTCACGGCGAGCGTGGTACCGCCAGTGCTGACCCATTGCTTTGGGAATCCACTGGTGCTGGCACTGGTGGGCGGCAAAGGTGTTATGGAAGAGACATAGTCGGCATGGGGGAATTGGGTCTGAACGGGTTTCTTTCCCAGTTTGCCGTCTTTAAGGTCAATGATGTGGAGGGCACCTGAGTCGGTCGCAAGAAGCAGGCTCTGAGGGTTCAGGACATGGAGGAGGGTCGGCGCATCGGGGACCGTAGTTGCAGAAGGAATCACGAATTTGGAAATGACTTGACCGGTTTTGGGGTCAAAGTGCTTTACCAGCGCATCGGTTCCAGCTGAATAGACAGCTTTACCAGGTTAGCTTGACGAACAATGAACAGCCACAGAGGAGCTCGGGGAAAGCTTACCTGAGCCATCGTGCGAGTAGACCAAAGATCTACAGCTTCCCTTGTGTCTTCGAGTGCGCCAGACGGATTCGATCATACTCTTTCCATCGCTCAGCACGCTCGTGTCTCCATCGGCATCGGCAGTGTCGTCGGAAGAAGAGCTGGATGGCAATCGAAAGGTCTCAACATGGCCACTCGATAAACCGACAGTCAGGAGGGGCTCCGTGGGGTGCAGGGCTGTTGCGAACACATCTGCCGACAGAGGCAGGGTACACGTATTCTCGAACATGTTGAAATTGATGCTAAGCAGTAACTCAAAAAACGGTCAGGTATAGCATTGCTTGAAAACGATGAAGAAAAAAAAAGAAGCTCGAGCCAGTGGAAGTCACTGTGTTATCGGCGCGATAACACTAGTTCACACTGTCTAGTGGTCCATCGAAGTTCAACGAACACCCCGTTCTGAGGTAGACATCATAGGTACCTAGGTAGGGTAATATTTTTGATTCCTTTTTCAATGCTCATGATATCTTTTAATATTCATTCTATCCTTAAGTGTTTCCTCTGAGCCCCTAAAAAGCATGTGATGCTGGGTATTTCCACTTACTGTTAACCAGTCATAATTAATAAATGGGGAGGGCCCATTGAATTCTAGACTGAGGCTGGGTGCAAGGCTACAGCATTCAGGCACCCACCCAAAAAGCTTAGGTACCTTATGCAAAACATCTTGTTTTCCCACCACCTGTAGATGCATTTTTGAACATGGGAAACTGGTATCAATTGGTGAGCGTATTATTATAGCTTCGTCATTAATATCTTGACCTTGCTTTTTGTTTACAGGCGCGTGCCGTCAATGCAAGCAGCCTGGACCTGTTTCTCTTCGTGATTAGTACGGAGTATACTCCATATAATTTTTGAAATAAAGAGCACCTCATGACCTTGAGCTTATGCGTGCCTGACTCAGTCAGATGCCCATAAAATCTTATCCATGAGCGGCCGGAAGGTTTCATGGCAAATCGATCGATCTTCTGTCGCTAACGGAACTCAGGCGGTAGATCTCCACGGGTAAGCACCCGGGTGGCTCCACTGTAAGGTGGTTTTAGGGCCGTTGCAGGGCAAAGCGGGGTGGCGATAGGTCAAGAGTCGAGTGGAAGGACAGCCAAGAATCTAGACCTACCTACCTGGTAGGTACCTAGGCAAGTTGGAGTGCGATGGAGGGATCCTTAAGTAATCTTGCCAATATCTACTAAATTCTCAAGTGCAGGCTACTTATTTTAAACCAGTCTTGTTAAACCACACAAACCCCCAACCTCGTCCGACGATCTGTCCCCCCTGCCGAGACTGCTTGCATGGGCTAAGCACGTTACAACTGTCGATCATGACTGGTAACAAGGTCTCCGAATCAACTCGTGAACGGGAGACATTCAAGTACGATCTTGCTCCATTTCTCACCCTCACTCTCGTCGCATCTTCACCCTCTGCCTTCAATTGAAGCTCCTCGAACGGACTCATCTAACAAATACCCAGATATGACTCGGTCCTTGTCGCCAACTCCATTCGCAATGATGTCGCAAACCTTATTCCGTCGTCTCAATTGCGACCATGCTCGGATCCTGCCATGACTGCTCTGGCCCAGGTGGCTCTCTTGAGACTCGGTGGCTCTCGCGCCATGATCTCGCTATTTGACTGTCAACACCAGCATATTATTGCCGAAGCTACACCTGCGCTTCGCATATCTGCTCACGCGAATCCTCCTAGTTCTGGTTCTGATAGCCTCTGGCTTTGCGGTACTGCAATACCTCGAAACTATGGCATTTGTGATCATGTGTTGGTATCTCCCGAGTCTGGAGGTCCACAGCAAGCATCGTTAGCTTCGGAGCTCCCGGTTACAGTGGTCAGCAATCTCGCGGATAATCCAGAGTATCGCAATACCTGGTACTACAAGGCACGACCAGAGCATCGGTTCTACGCAGGAGTACCGATAAGAACCCGTCGAGGTATCAACATTGGCGTCTTCTGTATTCTTGACATCGAGCCACGGGAGACAGTTGACGAAGCGTCACTCCAAGTCATGCGAGACATTTCAGCATCTATCCTGGGACAAATGGAACTGACACGATCTGGAGATGGCCGGCGTCCTGGTGAGCGCATGGTTCGCGGTCTGGGAAGCTATGTGGAGGGAAAGACGACCATGTCAGGATTGCAGGACAGCTCAACTCACGCCTTGAATACCGATGCTAGCACGGAAGAAGGCTCTCTTAACCAGGCACAACAGAAGATCCAGAATCAGAGAGATAATGCCACTGCTGCTGCTGATACGGACAGTATATCCACACCGGACATTTTTGTACTTGAAAGCCCTAGTCAGTATAGGCCGACAAGCCCATTCCATCTAACGGACAAGCCTCCTTATTCAGTTCCAACTGGAGAAGAATCACGACCGCAGCAGCTGGGCCAGATCTTCTCTAAAGCGGCAAACATACTACGCGAGTCGATCGAAGTTGAGGGGGTCCTGTTTTTGGATGCAGGTGTTGGCTCTTTTGCCGGCAGAATCCGATCCGGTTCTCTACGACGTAATACAAGGACCCACGGTCGCTCTTCCTCCTCGTCCTCATCTTCTTCCTCTTCAGGTAGAGGCAGTATTTCGGTCTCATCCCCCCGGAACTCCGCAGACTCCCGGTCCTCAGGCGCTATGTGCCCTGTCCTTGGATTCTCTACGTCTGTGTCTTCCAGTATCAATGGTGAAGCCCCATCCGGACGCAGTCGAACTATACCCGAACGACAGCTCCAGAAGCTACTGCGCCGCTATCCAAAAGGCAAGATCTTCAATTTTGATGGCGACGGAGTGATGGGATCGAGTGATCCGACTAGCGAGGACTCGGCTATGGCCGCTTTCCAGGCCCAGAAAGCTCGGAGCGTACAAGAAGGGCAAAGAGGCGACAAGCAAAGGTCGCGAAAGGTTAACGACCCGTATTCACGGAAAAATGAAGGCATGGCTATTCGCGATGTCTTCCCAGGAGCACGCAGCGTTGCCTTTGTACCTCTATGGGACTCTCATAGAGAGCGCTGGTTTTCCGGGTGTTTTGTCTATACAATGACACCAACCCGCATCTTTACGGTTCAGGGGGAACTGAGCTACCTTGCCGCCTTCAGCGCAGTCATCATGGCAGACGTTGCTATGATGGAGAGTTCCATAGTATCTTTTGCGACGACATCTTTACTCAGCTCCCTATCCCATGAACTCCGGTCTCCACTTCACGGCATTGTTCTGTGTGCCGAGCTGTTGCGTGATACCGCTCTAGATGTGTTCCAGGGCGATGTATTGCGCTCCCTTGAGGTCTGTGGTCGCACACTTCTGGACACGATCAATCACTTGCTTGATTGGACACGCATCAACAACTTTGTCAAGGCACCCAGTGGACAGTCGTTGAACTCAGGTATTGGCTTCGTTAGAGGCGCACAGTCGAACCAGAGAAGTAGACCGACGGACGGGATGATGCATATCACTTCGAATCTGGATCTGGACATGCTGGTTGAAGAAGTCGTGGAGTGTATTCATGCGGGCCATACCTACCAACAGCAATCACTCTCGCTTGTGCATGATGATAGGCCGAATGAAGATCTCAACCGCGATCCTCTTACCCGCCTTGATGGTATGGAGGTTGCGGACAGTATCAAGTCTGGAGAAAGGATCAGCAACGCAACTGGTCCTGACATAGTCCTTGTGATGTTGGATATCGACCCAGCAGTAGACTGGGCGTTCCATGTTGAGTCGGGTGCACTGAGGCGCATAATAATGAATCTTTGTGGCAATGCCCTCAAGTATACGACACGGGGTTATGTTAAAGTTTCAGCCTACCAGGACCCTCCTGGGAACACCCGGTTAAGGGATCGAGTCGTTCATATCGAAATCACCGACACAGGAGCTGGCATCGGGCAGGACTATCTCAACCACCGTCTATTCGCTCCTTTCGCTCAAGAGAATATTCATTCTTCGGGCGCTGGCCTTGGTCTTAGTCTGGTGAGGAAATTCGTCAGGGCCCTTGGAGGCTCTATACATGTTCAAAGCAAGGTGGGCACGGGAACCCGCATCGCGGTAAAGCTACCACTAGAAGCAGTCAGTGTTGATTCGACGGAAACAATGTCCGACCGCGAGGAGTTTCAGTCCCAGGCCATTGAGTTGTCAGGCCTTCGCGTCAGCATCAACGGCTTCACACCTTTCGGCGGAGGGAGTTCAGAAAGTCAACGTTGGAATTCTAGGGAGTTTGACGAACATGCTTTGCTGGAAAAGGTCTGCCAGAATTGGTTGCGTATGCAAGTCGTTGACTCCCTCCATAACGCCGAGTATCTTCCTGATCTGATACTCTGTGATGAATCTCACCTTGAAACGATAGCAAACCAACCTCGAGACGAGCTGTCGTCCCCAGTTGTCGTGGTGTGTCGCAGTGCTGCGGTCGCTCGATCGCTTGACAGGTCACATAGGGCACAGCGCAAGCTCAATTGGGGATTGTTCAGTTTTGTATCGCGCCCGTGAGTCATTTGGTTTACCAATTGTTCCTTACCGCTGACATTCTTATCTAGTGTGGGACCGAGGAAACTTGCCAAAGCTTTTGTCCTCTGCTTCAGGCGCTGGATGAGATTACAAGCAACGGCTGCAGATCGTGCCAGCGTCTCGACTAGACTCGACGAGCCACCGACTGTATCGACGGCAGAAACAGATCTTGTCCAACGTGGGTCCGATGACAAGGAACGCGGCTATTTTGATATTGCCCCAACGATGTCTCCTAAGAAGAGAAGGGCGCATTGGGATGACGATGATGCAGAGACTCCGTTGCCATCAGTGCCCGCTTTGCAACTACATCCAACACCGCAGGGTCAGCGGTTCCTCCTTGTAGAAGATAATGCTATCAATATGAAGATCCTACAAACGTACATGAAGAAGCTGGGTGTGGCGTACGACTCGGCCTCGGATGGACTCCGAGCTCTGGAGTGTTACAAAGCTCAAGAAGGGTGTTACAAGTGTATTTTGATGGATATTTCCATGCCGGTAATGGATGGGTTTGAGGCTACACGACAAATTCGAGGGTTTGAGAAGGCCTCGGATTTGCCTCGAAGGCATATTGTCGCTATATCTGGCCTCGCCTCTAAGGATGCACAGGAGGATGCTTTTGCGAACGGACTGGATCTGTTTCTCTCCAAACCAGTGCAGCTCAAGGAGCTCAGTCGGATTCTAAAGAGTCGAGGGCTGATTTAGACAGGACAATCATGGAAGGATACGACCACGAAGCGAACACGATACCACGACTTTTCTTTAAGAATATTTATTGTAGAATTATTTCAGAGGCTCTGGCGTTGGTGCGGTTTTATCCGCTGTATAATACAATACCCAGACATGGATTTGCGAGGGGGGGTCTTATTGTGGCATATGTTACTAGACAGGATAGAACGCAGGCGCAAACGGGGTTCTTATCTGGGGGGAACATGCATTGGGAAATAAGAAATACGAATTAATTTGAACGAGAATGAACAGCCATTGAAAAATATTGTTTGTGTTGATGAATCAGATTGAGAGTGGTATATAAAGCTCCTCGTATGTAGGTAGCATTCGCTAAGAAGCATCCGCTTCACCCACCTACACCTGCATCTGCAATACATCTGCGGGTCAATTGAAAGTGCCACCTCGATCAGTGCCCTCTTCCGTCCAGCATAAGGTAGACAATAGCCAAAATCTTTCTTTCCTTCCAAATGCGCAACATCCGAATCATTTTTCAATGGCATCTGCTATTCTTGGCGGTGGTGACTGCGACTGCCATGTCTCAAGTCGAGCCATTCCGCTGCGTTATGTATCTCACAGGGTAAGTGCATCTCCCTCGTCACCAAGCAAGAACTTCAAAATAGATATTCACTGACTGAAATTATACCTAGACAACATGATATTGCCCCATCAAAGAGCGCGCTTGAAGGTGTCTCGCATGTCATTCTGGCATTCATGCGCTCCGAGACCTTCAATGTTGACGACAAACCTCACGACTATCCGCTGTTCACTTCTGTTTCCGATGTCCGCAAAAGGCTCCCTGGCGGCACCAAGGTAATGGTAGCGATCGGAGGCTGGGGCGATACTCAAGGTTTCGAGGAAGCGGCCAAGAATAAGACCACGCAGAAGCGGTGGGCTCGCCAGGTTGCGGCCATGGTCACGGCAACGGGCGCTGATGGCATCGACATTGACTGGGAGTATCCTGGGTAAGGAATATTGCAATCTGGGCCTTTACTGGTTACATACTGACTGCAACAGAGGCAACCGTGATGATTACAAGCAAATTCCCAACTCTCAGCGCGAATGGGAAATCGAGGCATTTGTATCGCTCCTCCAGGAGTTGCGTACTGCTATTGGTCCCGACAGACTTCTTTCAGCGGCTGTTCCGGGCAAAGAGGTCGATTTGATGGCCTTTACGCCCACCACCGTGCCAAAGATCATGAAAGAAGTCGACTTCCTCAACATCATGACATACGACCTGATGAACCGCCGGGATATCGTGACCAAACATCACAGCGGTGTCTTGGATTCCCAAGACTCAATCCAGCGTTATATCGACCGCGGCGCATCATCGATTCAGCTGAATCTTGGGTTCGGATACTATGTGAAATGGTTCATGACCCAAGAATGCTCCCAAGGAGAGCTTCTTGGGTGCCCTACACCATTGCTTGAGGATCCTGAGACCGGAGCTGATCTGGGCAAGACTGGCGGTTTTAGCTGGCATGACGATATTCCTCAGGACGTATCTACATCTTTTAAACAAGCGAGAACGGCTGGGAAGTATGATGAAGACGGAAGCTATTTTTATTGGGACCAGGACGAGTGGCGATGGTGGACTTTTGACACCAAAAAGAGCATTCAGACAAAGTTTAGCCATGTCGTGCCGGAGCTCGGGGTTGGAGGAGTTTTTGCTTGGGGCATTGGAGAAGATGCACCCTCATTTGAACATTTTAAAGCCACGGCCGAGGAAGTTCGCAAGATCCGGAAGGGTCATGTAGTTGAGCACGACTACATGGAAGATGGGTACAAGGATGAGCTGTAAGCGCCTGGCTACCTGGGTAGCAGTGAGATGCTATGACAGCATGGCTTACGCATGTATGCACATGCATGAATCGCCGACTTTCAATTGAACGGTTCGCCAACTTTATTCATCCACCTTCCAAAGATGCTCGATATCTGTCGACCAGGTTATACGTGGGCTGTGGCAGGGGTTCAATTAAGCTAGGTTTCGGCAAATCACAAAGTCCATACTAAACACGCCTCTAGCTAAACGGTTCAGTGTAACGCTGCTAAGCTTATCCTTAGCCTCCCCCTCCAACGACGCCCGCGTCTCCTCCACACGTGCTTGTCAAAGATGCCCATCTCGTACGGACTTTGCCTACTGCTAGCTCCGGGGACCTTGTGCTCTTTGCAGAAGCTGGCCTGCAAGTGCTGTGATCTGCGATGTGATTGCTCAATTCGTCTCTTCTAGGCCGATAACCAACACCGAAGGTTCGACAAACACCACATCCTGTAGGGGTGTTCTTTGTGAATGGGCTTGTTCCTGGGGATCTTGCGACGTCATCTCGGTGCATTGCCCAGATAGGTCTATCGGGCTGGGGATCAATGGGCAGTTCTCTCGTCCATAAAGCTCGGTGAGCACCCAGGTTGCATCGAGAAGTTTTGGTGTTTGGTCAAGCCTCAGTCTCGATTAAGGCCTCAATTGCTGGTTCTCGCCAAGCCTTGCCGGTGTACCCTCTTGTTCCATTAAACCTGCTTGCTCGTCAGTCAGTCAATTGACTTGTCCTGTTCGCCATGCGTGTCTCTACTCCTCTCGTTGCTGGCCTTGCGGTCGTCAGCCCTGCCGTGGCTGCTCCCAGCCCAAGCTATGGCGATAAGGAGTTGTTCAAGACTGTCAAACCAATCAAGCAGATTGAGCTTGGCCCTCGACCCTACTACCTCGTCAACGACATGGACGAGGGTTCGCTGAAGAAGAAGCTTCAGTCGTGCTCGGAGAAGCCTCAGAAGCCTTCCCAGTGGTCAATTGCCCACCGTGGCGGTGGTACTCTTCAGTTCCCTGAGCACTCTCTTGAGTCGAACCTGGCTGGTGCTCGAATGGGTGCTGGTATCCTCGAGTGCGATGTTGCTTTCACCAAGGATCGTCAGCTCGTGTGTCGACACTCCCAGTGCGATCTACACTACACGACCAACATCGTTACGATCCCCGAGCTTAACAAGAAGTGCACTCAGCCGTTCAAGCCCGCCAAGGATGGCAAGCCTGCTTCTGCCAAGTGCTGCACCAGCGACATTACCCTCAAGGAGTTCAAGACTCTCTGCGCCAAGATGGAGGGCTTCAATGCCACTGCTACCAACGCTGCCGACTTCCTCCACGGCACTCCACCTTGGCGAACCGATCTGTACGCTACTTGTGGTACAGTTCTGAGCAACAAGGAGCACATTCAACTCACCAAGCGCCTTGGTCTGAAGCATACGCCTGAGCTCAAGACACCCGAGGTCAAGATGCCCTTCGACGGTGACTATACTCAGAAGAAGTATGCTCAGCAGCTGATCGACGAGCACAAGCAGGCTGGTGTCAAGCCTAGCGATGTGTATCTCCAGAGCTTCCTGTACGACGACATTCTGTACTGGCTCAAGGCCGAGCCTGAGTACGCTCGTCAAGCCATGTATCTCGACGAGACGGGCGACACATCCGAGACCTTTGAAAAGGCCGTTGCCAACCTCACCCGCTACAAAGAGGACGGCGTTCGCTATATTGCACCCCCTCTGCCTTATCTCGTCACACCTGGTAAGAACGGAAAGATCGTTCCCAGCGCGTATGCGAAGAAGGCGAATGAACTCGGTCTCAAGATCATCACCTGGACTCTGGAGCGATCTGGTCCTCTGAAGAACGGGGCCGACGGTAACTATTACTATACCACTATTACTAAGCTGATCAATAATGATGGTGATGTGTTTAACTTGCTGGATGTTTTCCGGGAGATTGGCGTCGCTGGTGTCTTCTCAGATTGGAGCTCGACTGTTACTTACTATGCCAACTGCTTTGGTCTTAAGCTCTGAAGCTCGAATCAGAGAAGTAGAGGCTGAACTCTAGATAAATAAAACGTTGTCTATGTGAAGAAAGCGTGGCGTGAGTTTCAATCGAGGTGTTAACGTTCAACGGTCGTTTTAGGGTTAAAACCGCCGCAACAGCTGAGAAGTATCGGCTTTGTCTCATTGGCATCAAACATCGTCAAGATCCTAGATCTAATGTCTTCTTATATCAGCATCCATCAAGAACTAAACGGCGAATGTTTCTTGATTGGGCGACGTCTCGATATGGCAATTCTCCACGGCCCTAGACCTTCGGGGCAACTCTCCCCTGCCAATGGCATGTTGCACTACTCGAACGCAAGTGATGAAGAGAAATCGAACGTACCTTTGGGCCGTAGAAGTCTTTCCTACTGGTTATTAATATTGTTCAGGTTGCAAGTGACCAATTCCTCGGAATATCGCCCCAATGAAGCAATACATGTCCTGCACCAAGGGCTGTCTCTGGCTAAAGATACAGCGCGCTGTGCTATGGATGATTGTGGTCAACGGCATGGTATGGCACACGACGCAGACAGCACTGCTATTCACTATTGGACCGAGCGTCGATGGCAACAATCCCACGCGTATATTCGTCGCCATCGAGAAAACTCAAATGACCTTCTTTTGCGCGCAAGAATCTGTCATCTCAGAGCTGTACCTCTGGGGCACCATCGATATCCTACAGACATCACTAGGCAACAAGCAAAAGACGATGTGGTATCTCCTGATCATCAACCTCCTCATCGTAGCCATGGACATAGCGCTCCTCATCATCATGTACAAGGACCACTACACGATAGAACAAGGCGTCAAACTCGTCATCTACTCCATCAAACTCAAGCTCGAGTTCGCTGTCCTGGGAAAACTAGTCAACGTTGCTCATAGCCGCGGAGGATCGAGTGTTTCCGAAACACATCCAGCTCGATTCGTCGCTCGGAAACATGGAAGAAGTGACAATCTCCCAGAAATAGCACACCTTGAGATCACAACTTCACGGAGGATGGCCGATGATGAGGAGAGCATGCGCCATCTTTATGACAATGCCATCAAGCAGATATACAAAGGGTGAGGCATGACTAGCCAATCGCATCTTGATCTTGGGTCTCTTGCAGGGCGAGCGAGATTTGTCAGGAGAGAGGATGTTTGCATAAGCATCGGGATAATTTAGCTGAGACGATGCTAAGCAGTGATTGTCAGAAGCTAGGCTGGGTATGTCCCCGCAGAACGTTCAGCCTTGAAGTGACCCATGCGTAGATTGTTAGCGAGTTGAGCTGTGAATACGATGCATGGTTCAAGAAGTGGTGAGATGCTGTGGGACAGTTGATCAGTATGTGAATAGCAAATGTAATGCATGATCACTGGCGTGCAAGATTTGGTCACACAAACTGCCAGACTAAAGATATCAGATCTCATATCACAACCATCTCGAATATTCTCCGGCCGCGCGATGCGATGCAATCCTTGTCGCTGATCTTCTCCAGTGGACCATCACCAACTCTTCAATAATGCTTCTAGCTCTGCAACGCCTCCCAGATCACAAGATGGTCTGTCCTCAACTATGCCGCTGTGCTCCATAATGACCTAAAAAGGCGGTCTCGCCGGATGAAACCTGTTGTTTCGAAGGATTTGGTCAGGGCATCTGTTGGATTGTGCTGGTTAGAGTATCATGTTATAGAAAGGAAGAAGGTCGCATGTTGGAATCTTCACATGTTGTTTCTCTTCATTCTCGGTCTTGATATCGTTCCTCTTTTGTTTCGGGTTTATTAATCTTCTGCGTCTGGTGTGCGCTTATTCATAATTGTATTGATATCCTATTGTCGATTTGATATCGAGGTATACAATAGGTCTGTAATATTCTCTCTTATCCCTTATTATTGTCTCTTAACCCGATCTATTCTCAACACTCATTAACCGCCAAGACGAACCATATCTACAATCTCTTGAAATACTTAAACCAACGAGTTCATCGGTCGCCATAACAAGCGTGTTGGCAACTCGCAGGCCAACGAGGCTGACATGTCCGCATTTCCCATAGTAGACGGCGTGACAGTCGCTATCCCACCACCCGATAGTTATGTCGTCAACTTTGATCATCCACTACAACGTCATGCCTTAGAGTCATATGTGATCTCAGGCATAGGCACAGCAGTCGCTTTTCTTTTCCTTCTCCAGTATTTATATGTCAAACTCTGGGTTTTACGTAAACCCGATGGGGAGACGGGTAAGACCCTTGCGCCGATCTGTATTAAGTTGTCATCTGCTACGAATAGGAAGCCTGCCTTGTAATTGCGTGGATCTTTTCCATAGCGGTTCAAGTCGTCTCTCTCAGTAAGTCGGCTACCGAATAAGCCCTGGTAGATGGACCATTTTTTGACTGGTATTAGGTTCATTCATCCTCGGGGTCACAGGAGTACATGCTTGGGAACTCCCCCTCAAAAAGTTCAATGAAGGGAATCAGGTAAGATCCCTTGCAAAGTCTGGCGTATATATGGCTAACAACATGCCCAAGCTCACCTTCATATCTCCCATCCTATATGCAGTATGCACTGCCTGCTCTAAAATGGCGCTGGCGCTATTTTACCGAAGGCTTTCGCCCCAGATATGGTGGAAATGGTGTGTGTACAGCGTATTTTTTTCTCGTTGCTGGCTATAACCTGGCCATCTTGCTCGTGGTTCTGTTCGGGTGTACGCCGTTCAAGAAAAGTTGGGATCTCACGATACTCGAAGGCTCATGCGTGGATCGAGGAGCAGTGTACATCTGCACAGCGGCACTGGGCATTCTTTCGGATCTTGTCCTTCTCATCATGCCCTTGCCGATGATTCTGCAGCTGCAGATGCCACGAAGGCAAAAGGCTGGTCTTGTGGTGTTGTTTGTCATTGGTTCTGCGTAGGTGATTCTCAGTTGCGGGAGCTGGCACTTGCTAACTGATGAGACAGAACACTTGTAACGTCTGTGGTTCGACTAGTACTACTAGTTCCGATGGTTGATGCAAACGACTACACCTGGGTTCTCTCAAGTGCAGTTGTTTGGATGTGAGTACAACTCGACCCCAGTATAGCAGTGACTAACAAGGCCAGCTTTGTCGAGGCCAACCTCTTGATAATATGCGCGTCGCTGACGACGCTTCGTCGTTTCTTCATCCATGTCGCACCCAAATTTATCGGCGAACGCGGGACATCAGTTCAATACTCCGCCACCAGTAAAGGAGCACGGCAACATCCATTCCATACAATAGGGAGCATTAGAAACAAAATGCGGAAGGATAGGCTCGATGTTCAGATTGAAGATCCCGGATTTGACCTCAAGACAATCGTCCAGGCGCAGCCCGTGACGACCGAAGTCACGGCGTACGAGACAGACGAACAGCCAGAACAGATGATACGGCACTTGCGGAGACAAGAGTCAGTGAATAAATTTGGCGAGGCCGCTGTGAGGGCTCAGACTCAGATGTGGGATCCCCGGAGCAGCAGCGATGATGAGGAGCGGGCGATTGTTCAGACGACAACGGTGACAGTTGTATACGGGCCAAGGGCCTGAGACTGAGACTGAGGCGCTTATTATTTATTAGCATGTTCCAGATATACAATTCTTTGTCTCGTCCTGTCTCGTCTGTGGCCTGGTGACGGTTAATGCATTCGTCAAGATGTGAGATGGTGTTGGCCAATCGTATTCTGAGAAGCGTAAAAAGTGCATGCTTCTGTCAGATGATTTGAAACAGATCTCTCTTTCTCTCTGCCAAGACTGAAACACGTCTGCTCTCAATTGCCGGGCCAAGTTAGAGTTGAGCTGACTTGGCCCTACAAGGATGTTGAGTAGTTAGCGGAGGTTATGTCGCATTGAACCAACAACTCAACTCAACTCAACAGTCTCAACTGCAGCCGCCGACAGACACTGAGAGAAAAGAGAAGAGAAGAGACGTCTTGGTCTACGGGTTTCAGCTGCCGAGCCAAGGCAGTGAGTGAGTGAGTGAGTGCATCCATCAGCCAAGCATTCGCTGAAAGAACCAAAGCGCCTAAGTTATGATGGCTATTGGTGACTATAGCGTAGCTCCCGGGGGGTCCCGACAGCCGGAAAAGAAAGAAAGAAAGAAAGAAAAGTCGTGCGCGTCACAAACTCTTGTCGTTGCTGTCAGAACATGATGAGATGATGCTCTTCAGCTTTTTCGCCCAGAACCAACCAGCTAAGGAATGTGAATGTGAAGCAATGTCTCGTATTCGGAATTACCTCAAGCACCTACTGAGCCTGTGTTGAGTGGAGTGGCTCGAAGGTGTGATGTGTATGTATTAGGGAAGCTAACTAGGGCCTAGTGGGCAGGCTACATAGAGAGATATAGGGGCCTAAGGCATATATATCTTAACACTACCCTATAGCCTGAACTACAGGTTAAGTAAAGCTATCTTATTATACATTATAGCTCCCTATGGCCTTTTTTTTTTAGTATTTTACTTTATAACCTTATTTCTTTATATAATCTGTTCCCTTTTTAATTAATTTTTTACTAGCTTTTTTATATTAAGTTAATATAAGAATTCTTTATAATTCTATATTCTTAGTAGCTTTATTAGTCTATTAGTTACTATTTCCTGCGTCTGAATATACTAAAGGTTAAAATAACCTATTTTAGTTT